AGTGTAATTTGTTGAGTAGGTGGATTATTGATATCGTAATAACCATAAGAATGATAGGTAACAGGTTCGATTCTCTGTTCAACTTGGAATTATTCAATTGACTGAGTATGATCATTGATAGGATTAATTCAGCATTAGGATAGAATATATATAGTTAATAATGTATAATAGGATAATATAGGTCCATAAAGAAAATTCCCTTATTATAAAAAAGGAAACGGGTTCGATTCCCTGTAAGGTTAAAAAAATAAATAAATAAATGAATAATAATGTTATGCTTTGAAAATTTACCCAATTATGGAAAAGAGGCTATAAAGATTTATCATAAATGTTTTCTTGAATATTTACTTACCCGACTGAAGAAAAATGGTGTAAAGAATTTTACTAATATTTTCTTGATTGTTTTATGTACTACCACATGATGCGGACTTCCCGAGAGAGAGCAGGCTGGCGCTCATGCAGACGTCAGCGATACTGACGATGATCCACCCTGAAGATGATGGAGACACCCTCTACGAATTCGCGTCGTTTTCGTTTCAATTTGGTCGCGTCGCGTTCGTCAAAATCGTCACTTGTAGTAGTTTGACTTGGGGGTAGGGAACCCTTAGTATTCCATGGGAATTGGGTTTAATCTTGTTTGATGCTAGATGTCCTTACCCAAAATTTCTATTACGTTTGCGCATCATGGGTGTCTAATAAAGTACAAGACAATAAAGTGGTGGACCACGTCTGTATCTTTATTAAAGATGTACGAAAGTAAACATTATTTATAAATTCTTTTAGGTTTTGCTCAAATCCAGTTCAATGTTTACGAATCTTAGGAAATAGTTTGAATTTCGTTTCGTACATCTACTTAGTATGGGAAGTAATGAAGTTTCAAAATATAAATTTTCTTGATATTTAATGGTTTAATAAATGGGATAGGGTAAAGTTTTGTTAATAGATGGGATAAAAATAAATTGTTTGGGTAATTTAAGTTATAGCTAGGGTTAGCTTTGTTTTTTTTGTTTTTGCCGACTGATGTCGATGTAAAGTAAAGTAAAGTTAAGGTTAGGAGGGAGATGTACGAGGGATTTTGTTAAGGTTTTGCTCCCGTAAAGTCTTTGCAATAAAACTTTGCAAACAGTTAGGGTTCTTTTCCCGTAAAGTTTTTTTTTGCAAGTTTTGCAAACTTATTGTGAGGGCTAGTCTGTAGTAAAGGCCACCTCCCAGTTGTATTTATGTCCTTAAGCAGGTAGGGATTTTAGATAGGACCGTCGAACCCTCTCGATGTAGTAGGTAGGAAAAAAAAATTTTGTTCGGTCATCTGGTATGACAAAACAATTTTTTTTTTAGAGGTGCCGGAGGGATGTAACGTCCTTAACGTTATAACCTCCTTGTTAAAGTAAACTCTTTGCTTTTGCAATGCCTACGGTTGGCAGTTATATTAAAAAGTTAATGTCATGATTATAAGATTTGAAATAAGGAATCGTCAGAAGGTTCCATTCTAGATTAGATCTTCAGGCACCAAGAACTTCCTCTCGTATTTAGATAAAATTTCTTTATATTCGCCTGAATGATAAAAAGAAATAAATAATTTATCTCTACCAGTATCGTTTAATTAATAAGCACGTCCCCAGGTTCTATCCATTCTGGGTAGAACTCTATAGTACCAACTTACTTAGAGATGGCCATAGAGCGACATAGATGCGACGCGGCGCGGCGCGGCGGGTCGGAAGCCAGAGTTATATATAGAAATGAAAAGAAATGAAAAGTCATTTATTCAGTCTAGGCTTTTACAAGCACTTGTGGAGGTCAAGAAGCTACGTCATAGGTTCGCAAAACTACGGCGGGAGACCTTGTACTGAGAAGAACCGGCAAGAAACTCAGCAAGGGCTGCTTTTTTCTCCCTGTATTGATATATACAGAGTCGTCAAGTTGAAAAATTACTTCAGAGATACTTCTGAAGTCACCTTCCATTACATCATTTAGGATATAGATATATAGTTACAATATATTTTAGATTTAGTATATAGGAAGCGGCATTAGATAGGTACCATATTACTGTTACAAAAACTGACTAATACCCATCAAATAACAAATTACAAGAAACACTATGTCCAGAAGAATTATAAGAGTACTAGCTGACCCAGCGAACTTCGTACCGCCCTAAAAAAATAGGGGTTGTCCAGCGGACAAAATTGTGAATCTAAACCATTCTCAGATCCCCTTGAACACACACAAAAAAATTCATCAAAATCGGTCCAGTCGTTTAAGAGAAGTTCAGTGACATACACACTCACAGAAGAATTATATATATAAAGATAAGCACGGCCGCATTTTAAAATCTGGTGCACACACTTAAGATTAGCAGTAAGGCAATGGTATTTTTTTTAAGTTTAAAGTGTGTATAAGAACTTGTCTCCTTAAGAATGGTTAGGTTAGGAACTATACTGTTAAAGATTTCTTAAAGATAAGGCACCTTGGGCCTAATATAATAGACTACAGTACAATACAATACTTAATTGAAAACACCACAACACAGAACAGAAATGACGGACATTACAATTGTAAAAAAAGAGTGTTTCAATGGGCGGTCTTATTGCTAAAAGTGATTTCTTCCGGACAACCTTTGGATGGAGAGGATTGAAAGAAAGCTGGAGTCGGCGGTGTCAGCAAAAGAAACAAGGGATTTAAACGAATTTATGAATTAAATATATATACATACATTTATACATATTATATACACATAGACTACACATATATAAATAAAACTAGTTTTTACGGGTTAATGCACGAAACTTTATTTATTGACGTTTCGCAGCCTTTTCAGGTCTGCATCGTCAGAATAATGATTTTATTTAAAATTGTCGAGCTACCTTCGAAAGAATTATATTGTGCGTTCGGTTATTTCATTGGAAGATTTTTAAAATTTTATTGTCTATGTATGAATTTATTATTTAATTTACTTAATAAAGTATTTTATTTAAAATTCTAGTTTGTAATTTTGAGTTTATTTATTTGACCCTAACTACCGTAAACTACCACCGGTTCCAAAATTGGGAGACCTTCCTGAGAAGAACCGGCGAAACAAACTCAAGAGAGGCTTTCTATCTCCTTCTTATGTTAAATTATGCAAACAAAAAGAACTAATAGTATCTGATGGTCTTGCAGTGTGTGCTCGGGGTTGGGATTTTATCTCCTGTATAATAGGTTCCCAAGCTGGTGGTATATACCAACCATCTTCCCTATTGAAATTTGGATATTTTTTAATCTCAATAGCCTCGCGCATCATTCGAGGAACGAACCGCCGCTCAGCTGCAAGGATCTGTGGTCTATCAATATAAATAAATAAAGTTTCGTGCATTAACCCGTAAAAACTAGTTTTATTTAATGAGTGATGTGCGTGAAAACCTAAGAAACAAATACACATATATAAGTTTAGTTTACTTTAGTTTAGTTAGACTAAGTAGTTTGACTTTGCTAATTCAGTTGAAAATTGTTTAATCGCCACTTCTAAATTTAAAAATAGTACCTAATACTTAACTTATTGTTAATTAATAATATTAATGTGATGAAAGTTGACATCAACACATGTTTTCAGTTTTTGATGTCATCTTTTAATTGACGACACTGTATGAGACAAAACAGGAAGGAAAAAAAATAGCCTTTTCTGAGTTTCTTGCAGGTTGTTCTCAGTACAACATTGCCCGATTTCACAAGAGCTTTTAACAGCCTAGACTGAATAAATGAGATTGAGTTTGAGTTTAAGGTAGGGCCTGGTAGGGCACATTTGCCCCATACATACCACATAATCATATACACATACTTTTTTCTTCCCTCTGTTCCCTTCTGGGTCTCATCCGCTTTGCCCATTCATCATTATCAGCCAATTAATGTTATGTATTAATTGTTATTACTGCTGGGGCACAGGACTTCCCTATGGATGGAATAGGGAGATTGGGAAGCCCAGTGCGGATTGACGGGTGCTAACGACTGCAGATGCAGCCGGGACGCCGGGTTTAACGTGCCTTCCGAAGCACGGAGGATTTCAATACAGAAGATTTTTGGTCACCCATCCAATGACCGACCACTACGAAAGTTGCTTAGCTTCAACGATCGCAGTCGAAGGCGCTAACCACCCGCGCCATCGAGCTCCTCTATTTGCCCATTCACAGGGTGGGTTAACTAGGTAGGTATACCGCCAGGTTTATTGCTCAAATTGAAGCGCCCGTCTGTGGAAGTTAACTCCACCTTACAAAAAACAACAGTGAAATAACATTGTTATTAAAGAATAAATAGTAAGATATTTATCACTAAAAACCTTAAAATATATAATAACTAAAATACATTATTAATGAGGAGCTCGATAGCACACGTGGTTAGCGCGTTCGGCTGCGATCGTTGAAGTTAAGCAACTTTCGCAGTGGTCGGTCATTGGATGGGTGACCAAAAATTTACTATCTCGAGCTCCTCCGTGCTTCGGAAGGCACGTTAAGCCGTTGGTCCCGGCTGCATCTGCAGTCGTTAGCACCCACCAATACGCACTGCGCCTGCGCGGTGGGTCATGGCCCAATCTCCCTATTCCATCCATAGGGAAGGCCTGTGCCCCAGCACTGGAGAATTATTAGGCTGATGATGATGATGATTATTAATAGGAGTCCCTTTAGGCAAGGTTCCAAAGATACTGGCAGCGTTCCCCCTTTGAATAGCTAGACTAATTCTTTGTCCGAGGTAGCTGCCTGCTGATATTTTATTAAATTGGACTAGCTATTTATGTTGTTTAAAATCGTATTCAATATTTGACTGTTTTACTTTCCCGTGTTTTAATTTTAATAACAACGAATCTAAACCTACCTTAGGATTTCATTTGTTAATAAAATTAAACGTTATAAAAAATATTGTATATGAATATACTGGGCATAGAACTCATTCTCTGTGGTCTGTGATACTGGCGATATTGAAAAACGTGAAATAAAATCTATGTATTTTTCTATAGTTTCATCATCGAATTGTTCCAGGTACACTCTGATCGCGTACTACGACATGTACGCCCAGATCTACACGCCCACCAAGATCTGGATACAGCTGCTGCTGATATGGCTGGTCTCCTTCGGTTTGATGGTGAGTTGCTGCTTAAAGTACTAATTTGCCTGTATTTAAGAGAGGCAGGGCATAGCTGATTTACCGCTCGAATTGGTGCGGCCGTCTAGAGTAGTTACTTTCTTCTTCTTCGCCGCTACACTCTTGACAGTGTGGTCGTCACATCAGGGTTGGTGGCGCGCTTCCCAATACGCCGCCATTCCTCCCGCACTGCGGCACGGTAATATTATCTATACAGTATTGTGACTCGGCCCTGTCCTTGAAATAACTGCCTACGGCCACGGTAATATTATCTATTCAGTATTGTGACTCGGCCCTGTCCTTGAAATAAATGCCTACGGCCGATTGCTGCGTTAGCACGCGGTAGGGCCGCCCGCCTACAGTATTTTAATTTCATCTACACAATTGAGTTTCTTTCTAGTTTTGTGACTGTAATTACCTATATTTTATATCATATGTAAAAAAAAATTTGTGAATGAATTAGGAAGTGTTACATAGAATACATGTTACTTAATAAAAAAATATATATAGATTTGAGACAGCAAAATTATTTACGCCTCGACTAAGACGTACGGAAAGCTTTATCATTAAATTTAATAGTATAATAAATACGCATACCTACAAAAAGTTTAATTATTGAAGAGTTCAATCAACCAAAAACAGCACAATATCGACTATTGCTCTTTGCCATATTAAATTATGTAGGTATCTACTTAATTCAATCAAATATTCGCAATACAAACGTTTAAGGACGACTAAATGCTTAAAAAACAATTCACACCGTTCGGTCGTCGCTGCGGCGCATTCGCGACTGGATGCCCACCGGGTAGCGGTGGGCGTTTACACGAAAAGCGCTTAAATAAGCGCGCTTAAAATATTAAGCTTGTAAGCACGCTTTTAAGTATAAGCGTTATAAGCTTTTCACTTAAAAAATCTGAGTAAGCTTTTCACTTAAAAAAGTGCAAGTATATTTTTTACTTAAAAAGTGCAAATCCCGCCATCTATGTCTTTGCCAGGAAACTACATACTTCGATCCTTCTAGTCCACTACAGTATCGAAAAATGGGTACGCGGAATTCCTTGGAACTAAATATTTCACAATATCACAGACATAGAACGCGCGACTACAGCGCCGCGTCGGCGTGCCATCTTTCGTGAGCCGGTTAATACAGCATGCGAATTATTATAATGCGACGTAAAAAAATGCACTTTTTTAAAATTTGATCGGATAACCAACGCTTTTTTCGTTAAAAGCGTTTAATTAAACGAAGTCGAAAAGCAGTACGCTTGTCACTGTAACGGGGTAAGAGCGCGTGGGTGTCGTACGGTGTGTTTGCATGCTTGCTTGTGTTAATGCGTTTCGTGTATTGGTTTAATGTGCATATAAAATAGTTAAAAGTATGTATATAAAATCAATGAACTTTTAAGTACGCCTGGATCACGAGTATATTAACTCCAGACAGTCCTAAGCTTGTAAAGTACGAAGGAAAGTTCATTGACTATTATAAAAATGTTTATTATAAAATCTAAATTCAATTGAAAATCTTTCGTTTTTAATGCCAATCAATTCATTAGGTTTAAACTTTTTAATAAAAATTTCATTAATAAGAAGAAAAAACGCAATAAAACACTTAAACACATTAAAAACGACAATAAACTTTTCAAGCTTTTTTAAACGATATACCTAAACGAAAACACAACACAACGTCGCGCTTTTTACGCATGCTTTTAAACGTTTAAGCCAATAAGCGTTTAAACGAAAAAGCTTTTTTTCAAGCCCGCTTATTTTAAAAAGTACAACGTTTAAACGCTTTTAAGAAATAAGCCGTTTTTTCCATCTCTACCACCGGGTGCCGCGCGAACTCGAGTGGCGTAGGTATGACACGCTTTCCGACCGTTTGTATGAAGATAGAATACTGTAAAGATAATATTACCGTGACTGCGGCTTTTCTCGTGCACTCGTGAAGTTGACCGTTCAGTGCCGCTTAGTCGGTCCAGCGTATTAGTGATCTGCCGCACGCCCTTACGCCCTGGACTTTGCCCTGCACCACCAGTTGTTCTACTGACGCCTCTTCTCGGCCTGAGATGTCACCAAACAAAGTGAGAATACGACCTTGTACGATGGAAGAAAGACGTTGTTTGATGGACAGTTCCTGGGGGATGGATGAATTGGTTCGGAATAAAAAAATGCGAAAACCGTAAATTTTTAGTTACAATCATATAATAAAAAATATTTTTGAAAATTCAGGTTTGTACGGAACAGTCGGTGCGCGAGTCCGACTCGCACTTGCCCGGTTTTTTTGTATCAGATTCAGATTCAGATTCATTTATTCATTGTTTAAACTGGGTACAATAAGATGGTAACATTATGTATTAATATACAGATCTAAACAGTCTGCCCGTTTCGGACGTACAATGTCAATAGTTAATTAAAATTATTTTACAATGTCAAAAATTCTAATTAAAATAAATAATAATATTCAATTAAAATTAATCTCATAAGTTAATATTATAATTCGCATTCAATTAATATAAAAATAAAATTATCATCTATAATAATTAATTAAAAATAAAATCATTAAGATTTACAGTCATAAAATTCCTTAAGATTATAAAAACTTTTTTCAATTAGCCATTTTTTTATTTTATTTTTGAATTGAATGCCATTTGCAGATTTAATACATACAGGTAAGTGGTTAAATATCTTTATAGCAGCTACGTATGTGCTGTTTTCTAATATATAACTTGAGACTGGAATAGAACTTATGTTATTAGTATATTGCGACCTCACATTTGTCCTTACTGAGCTCGTTTTACAATAAATATTTATATTATTCTTAACAAATAAACTAATTTCTAAAATTTAAATACATGTCAAGGTAAGATATTTATGTGTCCTAAAAAAATCTCTCAATGAATACATTCGATCTAAATTATAGATTATTCTGAAACATATCGCAATTCACAAGCGTCTATGTGTTTTGGTGGCGTACCATCAGGGAGGCCCTATGATTGTTTGCTATCCTTTTAACATAATAAAATCAATACTTGTGTTCGCCTATTAACCATTATCTTCATATTAAACTTCTCTTCCAGCATCTTATAATCTAAATATGTCTCTAATCCTCAAACAGAGCCTTTTGGTCAATATCTAGAAGCAATCAGATCTGTAAAAGCTAGAATTACTTATTTGAAGCATTAGATCTTAAAGAGATATTTATAGTTAGTTTAATTCACTTTCAAAGGGCCAAGTATTCACATTCTATTATTGATTACAAACAATTGGAAAAGATAGAGTACAGTGTTTTTTTTTTGTTTTTTAAACACTCACACCAATTAGCCTAGCCCCAAAGTAAGCACTGTAAGGCTTGTGTTATGGGATACTAGGGTAACGGATAGAATACTTATACTGTACATATATAAGTATATTTATATAGAAATACGTATTAAACATCCATGACTGAACGAAACATACAAACATCTGCCCCCACCGGGATTCGTACCTAGGACCTCTCGAGTCGGAGACACCATGAAACCCGGCGTACAAACCACTCGGACACGGAGGTCGTGAAAAAACACTTGTTCAATTGGCTCTAATAAGTAACAGTGACTTCGGTTTAATAATAATAGTAATTGCATAGCCTCGACACTCACAAATGACAGTAGTAACTAATTTTTACTTTGTATTACTAATGAAATAATTCAGCAATAAGTATAAATAACTTAAATTTCCTGCGGAAGTAGAAAACAGTGCGTCTGCTGACTAAATAATAATGATCTCGCTTATGTACATTCCAAGAACAACTTATAAAATGTTACAACACTATCTGCCATAACCAGAAACATTGAAATAAACAAACTAACAGAAAGCCGTGTGTAGGTAATATGCAGAGGAAGCGAGAATTGGTTCATTGCACCATCCCATCCATCCCATAATTTATGATTCGGTTTAATTGTCCAAAGCGTAACATGTTCCAACTAGGATATCCTATTATAGCATTCCAGTACATTTCGTATGTGAACAATAAGTAATAAAAAAAAACAATGGGTTGCACTCCGGGAGTGCCGGCAGAAGTGAAAACTTGAATATTAACGTTGTGCATTTTTGATATTTTGGAATGGTTAGGGAATAATTTTGCATGAATTGCTTTAATTATCAGTATAAAAGTACTATCATGTATGTGGTAGAATACAATATTTATTTATTGCGCTATCGTACACAAACATGACAGTTTATATTACATTAAAAAAGTTTATCTCTCAGAAAAATCAACTTACATGAATCACGATTAAGCGCACTTAGCGACATCTATTGTAAAGAAATCAACTTACATGAATCACATTGAAGCGCACCTAGACACATCTATTGTTAAAAAAAAATGCATTTTCTTCGCAATAAAGCTGCCACATGGACGTCCTAGATAGAGACTTATTATTATAATACGGTAAAATAAAATATTACTATGTTTCGTCCAATATATTGAAAGTCAACAATCTTTCCAATTTTATTGTGTGTCATGATGCGATCAGCCCACGTGTTTAACCTGACACGAGTTTAACATTTTCTACCCATACAAAAAAAGTGTACAACGCCGCTAAAGAAGTTTTCACTTCAAAAAATGTGTGCACGGAGCAGACATCTGAAGTGAAACTTCTTTCCCTAAATAACCTAACATAAGGCGGTGCATAAGGCATAGGGTAATGGAGCAGTATATCTTTATATATATAATTCTTCTGTGAGTGTGTATGTCACTGAACTTCTCTTAAACGACTGGACCGATTTTGATGAAATTTTTTGTGTGTGTTCAAGGGGATCTGAGAATGGTTTAGATTCACAATTTTGTCCGCTGGACAACCCCTATTTTATTAGGGCGGTACGAAGTTCGTTGGGTCAGCTAGTATATATATATATATATTGTCGCGTGTGACGTACGTGACGCTCGTAGCGTTTCAGCCTTCGCCGAGTTACCCTCCAACATTCTGGCCGCGTCGCGCCGAATGAAAACGTGAGAGTTCTATCAA